ATTTCACTCATTTTGTATGTGCTTCTAAGTTGATTGAAATAATGTAAATATTTAAAGTTCAGGTTAAAGTTACAATGTAATATTTTAATTTGAAAAGTACCAGCAAAATGCACAACATGTCTGAAATGAAAGTCAAAATAATTAACAAAGCGGCCATTAAATATGCAAATTGTTTAACCAATGATTTATTAACTTTGATCAATTTATTTTGTACAAATTGCAAAAGCCACAAGCTCAAGTTGTTCGATCCGAAGAACATTAATTACCCTTAAGCATAATACACACATGCATTGTCCGGATCTTAATAATGAAATTATGTTTACGATTTTGCCATACAATTTGCATTTGGGCCGGAAACGGTATTGTTGTTTTCTGCAATGGATTTTGAACCAAGGCTAATAAGCCGTTCTGTGAGTGTGTAATAACAGTAATAATAGCAATAGCGCAAATTTGTTAAATCATCATTTCTAAGCTACAAATTAATGTTAACAATAAAAGTAGCTAAAATGCAATTTGTGCCAAATAAGTTGCCATCCGATGATACAAATTGTACAATATTCAACCAGATATATATGCATGTTTATGTGTGCAACGGATAGAGACACTTATATATGGACAGCACAATATACAAATTATATTGTGAATTTATCGCAGAACGGGTGACAGGAATAGAAATAGAGACAGACACAGAGAAGCTGATTTGCCACTGGCATCAATTTCACTGGATTCTGCCACTGCGCGCTTCCAGTCAGGCCAACAACAGTAAGGATAATAACAACAACAACAGCAACAAGGACATAGAATTGCATTTCGCATTTCATGCCATGGTAAATCATATGCAAATGCATGCGTATGACATTTCGGTTCGAATTTTATTGTCCGCCCAGTTGCTAAATTATTTAGAGCCTGATTCCTGATTCCTGCCATGACGAGTCATGCATTTTGAGTTCACCCCCCAAAAATTTATAGTGTGTGCACATGTGTGTGTGTGAGTGTGTTCATGTGTGTGTACTGGTTTTAGTTGCTTTTGCGTTTGCCGCCTTTCAATCTGACATAAAACCTTTTTGGGCTTGTGGCCCACATGACATTTTATGCAAAGTGCTTGCTTCTATACGTTTGTGTGTGTGTGTGAGTGTGTGGGTGTGTGTTTGTGGGTAGGTGTTTGGGTGTCTGGGCATATACGTGGGTGTATTTCACGCCCTTTTGCCACCGCACATCAAAATAAACACTGGCAAATGTGCGTCTTGCCAGAGTTGTCAGCCCCCTCCACCGTGCAACAAATGAGCTAAATGTCTTCTTCTTCTTCTTCTTTTATGTGGCACGCAGGCGTGCGTAAAAACAAAAATTCATTAAATTTCAAATCCTTTTTCTGCGTCTCATCAAATGCCGCAAAAGCTTTTATTACATTGTGCCCCGAAAAACAAATACACAGAATCACAAGCATGAAAACCTATATGACCATATAATTCAGAAAGATTGTCTCGGTCGAAATGATAATATCGATAGGCTCGTAATTGTAAGTACATAGAAGCACATTGTGCTTACAAACTAGATGAGGAGGGTTACGATAAGTGTTTTCAGAGCATAGAATATATAAACGTAGCCCCAAAAAGTATGCTACAAAACGCATTAAAGACATAATCTGCTAAGCACAAGAGCAGCAGCTCATATTCAAACTCGTAATCATCTATTTACTTCTGAACCCAACTCCCTTTGATTGTTTATGCCCTCGAAAGCTTTTGCGTAATTGACACCCACTCACTTATATATATGATATGTATACAAAGGGTCAACTAGATGATATTGATGTCGCAGGAGAGTTGGTGCAGCTTGCGCAGCATCAGCATCCGCATCAAAATTAGCATCAGGTACAATGGCACAACAACAAAATTCCAGTGTGTCTGCATATTTGAGACTTTGATCATTTGAAACGTTGTCTGCCACACACAAGAGCATAATGCAAAATGAGCCAAGAGAAATTGACGCCCCCAAACCAATCCGTCGACAAACTCCCCATGCCAACCCACACACACACACACACACACACACACAGACTTATCTATCGTATGGTAATGCCACAAATCCCCTCATCTACGTTATTATGTGGGCACTCAGTCTGTTCCCGTTTAAGCTCCAGCTTCCACAATTTAATCTTCATCATCGTCATCGATAGATGTCCAGAGTGCAACATGTTGGCCAACGCTTTCAGTTTATTTTATACCATTCTCTGTCATGCTTTCAGTTTTGCTGTCTGTTTTCTTGTTTCTGTCAGTTTTGATCAATTTATGCACATTATTTGTCCTGCTGCATGTCGCGTTGATTTTTCCACAATACTTTTGCACATTTCTGATATGCCATTTGTATGCAAAAACTAACTGAACATTCACTTCTTGCCCAACTTCAACAGCAACTACAATTTTATGGTTTATTTTTCAAACTTTTTGGTATAGTAATGGTCAGGATGTGAACTTGGCTAGCTGTGGCTGCCTGGCTGGCTGGCTAGCTGGCTTGCTGGCTGGCCCAAGCAAGACACAGTCGCTGTCTGGGCGCGAAATGAGCATCTGTGGATTTATGGTCGAGCCCGAAACTTGTGCAGCAATTTATATAAAAGTACATATGTACATATATACTTATGTAAATGGCAATGCATCAGTGTTAAAGTTGCTGCTCTGCTCGCTGAGCCCATAAAGTTCTGGGCATATTAGTTGGGAAAAGACGTAGCCGTAGATGTAAAATGCAAATGAAATACCCCAAAAGAAACCATATAGACACTTCTATTTTAAATATGTAAAACAACTAGTTGAAAACTTGAACTACGTGCGGAAAAACTAAACTTTGGCATTTTAGGAATATTGGTTTTATTCTCAAATAATCTGTTCAGAACAGTGCAATTAAAGTTGACAGAAAAAAATGCTTTCCAATTTCAAGTTTAAAATTCTTAATTGCACATAATTAAATGCAGGCAAGTCAACTTTTTTTTTGAATTCTGTATCCTGACCAGGCCAGTGCCAGTGTTAACGTGTAGATACAGTTTCATTCTGAAATACTATAGAAGAGGGAATAGTTTTATTCCACTATTCATTTGACAAGTACAGTCTAAATATAAAGTTAATTGGAGTATTTACGATATGTATTGTTTCGTCAATATGTGGTTTTCTTAAGTTCAAAGTTCAAAGCTCAAAGTTTTATTTGTATAGGGCATAACAGGTGCGAACAAACTTATTCCAAGCTGCTTTTGTTTGCTGTCGTGTTGCTTGAAATCTTGCTCTGTTTCGGTCACTTGTCTTTGGCTTTGGTTTCAGTTTAGTTTTGGTTTTGTTGCTCTGCTGTGCCGTGTGCCCTGTGGCTTGTACATGTCCCTTAACTGCAGTTGACTTTGGGCTTTGTTGGGCACTGTCTGCAGCAGCAGTTGCCCGAGAACAGGAACATTGGTGAAACATAACAAAAACCACGGAATTGAAGCTGTCTCGAAGAGAGTTTGCAATCTGAAACTTGTGCCCCTTTCAGCTGCACCATGTTCCAATCATTTTACAAGTCTAATAACAATTTTTTTTTGTTGGTGTGAAATCGGAAGTGTGTCCTGGGTGTGTGAGTCGTGTGGCTTACGCATGCTGGCAGAAAATTTGCATATTTGATTATTTTATATGGCATTTGAAAAGCAATTTATATTCATGAATTTGCAAATTAGCAAACGTGAGGCAGTCATACACAATTTAAACATTTAATTTAAATTTTGTTAGCATTTAAAAAAAGGCTGCCTAAAAAATGCTCTTGTTTAGGCGCTTGTCAAGCGGTGCATTCATAAAATGATGTCCCAAATTGACACGCCATTTTTGCAAATGACTTTTTTAATGGAAAATATTTTAGTCATGTTACCTAGACATTATTCATAGATTTTACTTGACGATATGATATGAATAAATGATTTGCTCTATATCCAATTAATTTAACCTTTGATCCACATGTTAAGCTGACTTTAAAACTTAAATTTCTAAAATAATACTGGCCATAAAACTTATACGAGCTTAAACTTTTTGTATCAGCTATCTCTAGATATAATTTTATATATTACTTTACTACATGTTGGCTGTCACGATGTTATCGAATGGCTGTCAAACTGTAAACTGTACTTCGAACTGAAATTTATATATTTTTTAGCTGACGGCAACAATGCGAACCCTTCACTAATTGTTATGCCCCAATTGTTGTGTTCCAAGCACAACTTTTCTTCACCGATAATTGCTGCTAATTTTTGGGAAGTTGCACAGCAGACAAAAGAACAGTTTGCCACGCGTGTTGTCAATTGTGCAACACAGCTGCGGGCCAAGTAAAACAAATAATAAAGTTCCCAATTATAAGCAATGCAGAGAAAAAGTTGAATATCCGTTCTTTCTTTTCTCTTTTTTCAGCAACATTCATTCCGACATTATTCAGATGGCAATCATCTTCAAACTACGGAAGAGAGATGACTTCTTGTCTAACTGCAGCTGCAAATGACAACGAGAATGGCACAACTGTTTCAACTTCGTGCGTGGCACGTTGCCCCTCCGGGCGAGTGTGCGTGCAACTTGCTCTTGAATATGTGTGTTTTTGTCTGTGGGTCTGTGGAAGTCAATTAAATTAGTGCTAGCAGGCACAAAGTCAAACCGGAAGTACTAGAGTATGGGTATATCCTTCCGTCTTCTTGACATTTACATTTGACACACCCAACTCCCGCATTAGTCCTGCTGCTTTACGAAGTTGTGCGAAACTTATTGGTTTCTCTCTGATTATCATCAAAGACGGAAACTCAAATAATTGGAGGCAGCTCATAAAAGTGTTGTTGGCCTGTGAATTACACTGGCCATTTCCTTTTAGCTAAGTTTATAACATAACAGAGAACTTGACCCTGGAAACTTTCGGCCTTTAACGGATCCTGCAAAGTAGGAGCTTGGAAATTCTGCTCCACTTTTCGAGCTTTAAGCAACTCTAAATATAATTAATTAACATTAAATATATTATTTGTCTGTCTCTCATTTTCTCTCGGTCTCTCTGGAAACCCTATTATTTTCACATATTATTATTTATACATATATTAAGTGTGTACATAATGTAAAAATGTAACTTTAAACATTCGATTCTCTTATTAATAAGTTTTCCAATTCAATTTACAAATGAACTCTTCAATTATTTTTCTGCGTTTTGCGCCATTATTTTATCCTTGTTTTTGATAACATAATCCACCCACTTTTCCCATTTGATTTTCCATTTGGACATTGCCATTGACTTTTGCTCGTCTGGAAGACCGCTGTATTTTAAAGAGTTTTTGGAAATGCGCTTCAGGAACTTCAAGTCCGCATTCATGGGCTGAGTGCAGACAAATAGTTCTCAAATACTGATTACTGGTTAGAAGAGAATATTAACATACCGCAATGCCGAGAAATACCACGTAAAAGTCATGGGACAGTGGAGATGTGCGCCAAAATGAGGGATTGCCCGAGGAAATGACAAAGGGTATGTTGTTTGCAATCAAGGTGGCTGCCGGATGATTGCGATAATCGGCACTCAGCTGTAGCATTTGATTGCAAATGGGGCACACCTCAATGGCAATATTCAGCTGCTTCACCAGTTCCATCACCAAAGGGTGTTTGGTTATCGCATAGCCGTGTCCAATTCGCTTCGCTCCGAGTAGCACGGCATCAATTAGATTCTCATCGATACGGGTGCCATACCAGTTGGTTTGACCCGCATGCAGATATAAGTTGATGTTGTCGGGCAGTTTGTGCAACTCGCTGGCAAATTGGCTAAGCGGATCACCCCGATCCTCTTGGCCAACCAAGTCAAAACCAATCACCAAATCGGGAAACTCTTTCTGCAAAATTCAAATCAAAAAAGTTGGTCGGGTTGTTAATATGGAGTTACTCACATTTAGAATGGTGCACATTTTAACATACTTTGCCATCTGATCGATTGTAGCATGCCTCAGTGGCGAATAAATAATTTTCGCATCGATAAAATCTGGATTGTCTGTCTGAAAACGTCCTATTTGCTCCTGATAGATCTTGACGGTTTCTTGGACTGGGAGTTTGGAGCCATCTAAGCAGTAGAATCGCTGTAGTTTCGAACGCACCTCGACATACTGAACACCATCCGCGTGGAACTCCTTAAGGGCATTGTAGAAATATTCAGCCCAGACGGGTGGATATCTGAGTAGTCCGTCGAGGAGATCAAAGATCCTCTCCAGTTGATTCCAGGCGGCGATACTTGAGGTAGTTCGAATAGAGGGATACATGTTGAGAGCGTTCTTAAGATATTTCCGGAGATTCGCCTCGCCATGATAATCACGCAATTGTTCCATTAATTGCCATTCTCCTTCTTCATATTGAATTCGAGTGGGTTTCACCTTGGAGAATCGAAACTGTCTAAATTTACAGCCATTGTCGGTGGTGCAGACCCACAGATTCTTCGCGTAGGTCAATTTGATGAGGAAATCGGTGCTGCACATGGAGTGGGCATGGGCCTTAAGGACGCCTCCTTTGGGCATCTTGCTGAGCAGTAAGAACAATGGCGATTCTTTCATCTTTTTGAGACGTCGCATTATTTGATGGCCGGGCACAAACTGACTGGGATCCTGAATGCCCTTGTTGTACTCCTTCGTCTTCAGGCACATGATCACATGGTTCGCTTCGATCTCATTGCTAGTCAGCTGAATGTCATTGCCCAAGGTGCCGAAGCGTTCCAGTGTGCAGACAATCTCACGCAGTTTCCTGTAATCTGCCGGAGTGCTCTTGCGAAGGTTACTTTGGCCGATAAGTTCAGATAGTGCATTGCCGGTAAAACAACGTATCGTTTGGCCACAAATGCCTATACCTTGGGCCATTTAAAACAAATAATTTTGATGTCTAAATACGACTTTTTTCTCAATGATATGCGATCAGATCAAAAAAATATGTGCGAAAAAAATATGAACACAAAATGTAGCCAAAAGTGAAAATAGGCAAACAAATAGAGAAAGCTCTTAATATACATAACTCAATTACGTTAATTACACATATGCGATGTCAAAAAGTGAAATCCTAACAAAATATTTACTTTGGTGTTCAGTAACCCAACCGAAACAAAACCACTTCAATATATACATATACGATATAAATAGAGAGAGAACACTTTGGTTACAGGTGTCACGTACTTGAACTTTGTTTGTTTTCAGGGCACACAGCTCTCTTGTCAAGCTGATCCCAGACCCACACACACACACACACACACACACACACACACACACACACACACATATTCAAAGTCTGATTTATTTGCTGCTTACAAGATTTTGCCTAAGTGTTTTTTAGCAGAATTACGTTACTTACTGCTACATGCAAGTCGAAGTAGAACCAGAGTAAGAATCCCATTACAATTGCCCCAGGCCATGAAACTTTTCAAGTGTTAACGAGTTTTGTTGTTGTTGCTGTTGTAGTTGTGTTTGTTGCACACACATGTGTCGATTGCATACGTCGTGCAATCCACTTCAAAACTTGCACAAAATTCAAACAGCAACAACAGCAACAACCAGCGACAAGTGACAAACTGATTTGTTGGCTCGTTTTCTTTGGCAGAGCATAGAACTTGATTTTGTGCAAAAACAATTTGCATTTTAATTGCATAGGAGGCAAAATTAAAAAGGATACAAGCAGCTCTCAAAGGGCAGCTACTTTTATAATTCAACTACACATTCAACTTTTTCAAAGCGTCAGCTGAAAGACTCTTAAGAGAAGGCAAAGAGGGTCAGAGAGAGTGAGAGAGAGGACAAAAGTTAGTTTCCCAACTCTCATAAACTTAAAGGCAAACAACCATCTCTATGTAAAGGCAAAGTGCTATATGAGTTTGTTCTAATACTTCCTTACACGCCATTTGATCGATTGCATTAAGGATAAAAGCTATCGATTATTAGATGCCCATTAAAGTTGATTATTTATCGTCGAATACTTGGAAATTGGTTTTTCATATAATTTGTTTTGTAAGAGCTGAAAATTGTTTACGATAAGTAGAACGCAGAAGAACGTAGTAAGAAAGTTCTAAATAACAGTGTATTTTAGATTTGTAGTAGAAAAAATTAACTTTCATGACTTTTTTAAATAACATAGCCAAAAGCGCAATGAATGAATTTTGCATGATGATTTGACCTACAAAACAATGTTATATTTTAATTTTGAATTCGTCTTTTATAATCAAAAATTGACGGAATACTAAATCTGCATTTAAATTGATTTGGTTGATATAAATTCTCATACTAATTCGATTTCTACTATTTATTGTATTTGTGTTGGAAAATTTGCAATTTTATATTGAAGTTAAATGAATTACATATTTTACTATCTCTCGCACATGTTTTCTGTGTGTGTGTGTGTTTTATTTTAAAACCCCTAACTGGTTTCCGTCACAGCCTGCGTGTCTGTGGTCTGTCCACGATCCTGCACATTGCCACATAGCAGCATCCTTACATATAATTTTATTCTCCTCTCGCTGCTGTTCTCTTTTTTTTTGCATCTTTTGTGTCTGTTACAAATTATGCTCATATAAATTTTTATAAAACATTTCTGGCGTTGCCATTTTATTTTATGTTTCTTTTTGTTACAACTGCTTCTCATACACTCACTTACACACCCACACTTTACACACACACACACACACAAACGACCCAACTATTTTATACATACGCCCAAATTTTCCTCTTTTTAATTTAAGAAATGCTTTGAGCTTTAACCCTTAAGTTATGAAAAGTTTCAGTTTTAAGAATATAAAGATGGATAGAACTTTTACATTTTATTTTATTAATTTTTGTATTTTTTAAAGGAAGATCATTAAATATCAGAGTTTTCCTTTTAACACATTTAACAGATTTAAACTGGATTATGTTGCCATAAATGCGATGCCTGTTATGCGATCATATATTTAAATAAGAGATATGTAAAAAAAGAAACATATATCATAAATGCTTAATTTTAAGAATGAATGCATGCTGAAGCGTGTTAAACATGTGCGTATTGCTTCTGGTTCATTATTGCGCATTTCGGTGTGTTAATGTGTGTGAATATGAAGCTGATGGCTGCCCCTAAACAAAGCAGCTGCAAAACCCTCAGAGCCAGTCGCCCAATGCCATTTGTGCGTGCCTAATGTTAGGTCGGCGACGATGCCCCATAAAAAAGGGTTCCTACTTATACGAATTTCTGTGTGAGTGCGAATGAGTGTGTATGTGTGGGTGTGTGCGTGGGTGTGGGTATATCTGTGTGTGTGTGGGAGTTTTTGTATGTTTATGTTTATGTCAGTTTATTGTGGCACTTTTTGGACGCCTTTTGCCAGTTTATTTTTTGGTAACTAATTTAATATGCATAAATGCTAGCACATGTTTCATAAATGGCATTTTAAAGCCGCACAAAATGGGTTTATTATGTAGGCTCTTGCCCGCTTTACCGCTTTACTGCTTTGTCGCTTTACCGCATTTCGCATACAATATGAATTTCTATTAATGCTTTTTACTGCTGACTTTGCCCCGGGGCTCAACAAATGTCTGACTGTGAGTCTTTGTGTGTCTGTTGTATGTTGGTGTCAGTTGAAATACAACTGTATATATATATATATATATATATATATATATATATATATATATATATATATATATATAATAACTACAAAATATTTGCATGCAGCAGCAAATGGAGGAAACTGGGGAAAACTGTTGCATACTTTTGTGCGCACCCAGAAAAATCTGGCTTACAATGAACCCGGAATTTAATGTCATAATTGAGCTGAACAGAACGCCACGACAATTGTCAAACTGTTGCAGATAAGCCAAGGTTCTGCTGCCAAGTTTCTCTTCCCCACTCTCTTTCGCTCTCTCTCTCCCTCTCTGTGGCCACACTCGTGATGTCTGTTGGCCCAAAATGAGCGACTGTTAGACGCGAACGGTTGTTGAAACGCTTTTATTTTTTGGTAACAATGTGTGCTGTATTTCCATCTAAAGCACACCTATTCCATCCGCCCTCTCTGCCCACCAGCTGGTAGCTTTATGTTGTCAGCTTAACTGGAAACAATGGCGGCTCCCTCAATAGACGTCGACTTGTTAAGCTTGCGGCTGGCATTTTTATCTGCCTGTTGTCTTTGCCTTTGCCTTTGTCTTTGTCCCATTGTCACTGACACAATGGACTCAAATTTTGCTGCTCACACATACTTCTACACACGCACACACACACAAACATACACACACACACACTGTGTTTGATTACAAATTTCTGCGTTTTGTCAAATTGATTTGTCTACTGGCAGCACGTAGAGTCCAAAGTGCCCCACTCCCCGTGATATCCACTCTTCGCAGTGAACAATTTACATTTTTGACGCGTTTGCAGCGATTTGAATTGCTCGGCACGTTTGTTGCCTATTTGAATTACGAGTATGTCAATAGAATTGCACACAATTTCCCGCTGCTTCTCCTTGCAGGCCCAAATAAGATCAAAATAAATGTCAATAAACATCATCGCCATCAATGCTAACAGCAAAATACTTTAAGCTCAAGTATTGAGAAACAATTTATTAAATAATTCAATATTCGAGTATGTCTCGGAAAGTGCTTAGCCTTTGCTGATTAGTGTAAAGAGAAATGAATTTAATTGATATTTAGAGAAATGTCTTGTAAATGTATTCATTAAATGTGCCCGTCTATCAGTGCAGCATAAGTGAACTTAACATGGCTGAAACCCAAACACGATTCGCTCCAAACAATTTACGGCATTGTTCATGTGAAATGACTGCATTTGTTGAGCGCTTCACAACATGTTTACAGCACTCGGTTTGTTTGGGGGCAGTGTTTTTGAACAATATGACTGCAATACTGGCGAATGGCCATATAACAGCAATAAAAGAAATTATAAAATAATATTAACAATCTAGTAACAACTATGGAGCACAAAGAGCTGGCGGCCATTTAGTGCCGGACCAGGCACCAGACTAAACAAACTGCATAAAGTGGACCCAGCTACAAAAACATATAAAAACAAAGAGTGAATTGAGCGAGAATAAAAAAACACGACGTGGGAAAAGAAAGTGGCATTTTACGTTTATGGTTATGTGGGTGCTGGACACCGCTGCTCATAAATGTAGCAGGAGTATGGGGCAGGTCCGGAAGCAGGATCAGGTGCAGGGGCAGAGGCAGGGCCAGAGGCAGAGGCAGGGCCAGGGCCAGGGACAGGGGCAGGAGTCGAGCTTAAGGGCTAACCAACAAGCAGCTGAACTGCAAACTGCAAGCTGCAAATAGCAGCAAATGGCTAACGGCTGGCAAGCAATAAAGGCAAAGACCAGCGACTACATTCAAAGTGCAGCTGTGCAATTAAGGTTCCCAACTAATTGCGAGGCCAAATGAGTTGACTCCTCCGCAAGAGTCACAACTTCATTTCTTGTTTGCCTAGTTGCTGCTTAAAGTTGCACATTTTTAATTGCGTTTTTAGTGTTAATTTTTAATGTGTGTATTTTATAGTTTATGCTCATATTTCCAATAGCTCTGTTACCCGACTCAAGGTATTTAATTATTGTGTTTCCTTTCTAATTAACAGCACTAATAATTTGAAATATTTTTGTTTGCTTAGTTGCTGCCTAAAGTTTAAAATTACATTTTTATGTTTTCTTTGTTATGAGAACCAAAACTTATCCAGCACCAATAATAATTTCTACTATTTACAGCTGCAGTTTTCGCAATTAATTTTTATGTTTTCTTCTTTATGAAAACCAACTTTTATCAACAGCACTCATAATTTTTACTATACGTGGCATAAAGTTCGCTTTTCCAATTTCCGGCCTGCTAACTCTATCAGCCCCCTCTCCATTACCCATCTATGCCCCACCTCTATGCCACTCGTCCTTTCTCTCACATCTCTACACATTGCTGTCGCCTCATTTCGTTGAGGTACGCAATGTGACACAGAGTCCGGCCGCAAATAGATGGTGGAGGCAAACGAAAACAGTCGGGCAAACATGCATAAAAAACTTTTATAATAAAATTATTTGTTTGGGCCCCAAATAGACAAGTTTTTCAGCCATACATTTCATTTGTGCGAAATGTCACTCTGGGGCATACTTTTGTCGACACCACCCATCCGGCAAACTGAACAACCAACAACCGACAACCGAAACAACAACGACAGCAACAAGGACAAATGTTTTGGCAAATTTGCAAGTGAGCTTCAGGATGCGCAGGATAATAGCAAAGGCAGACAGCAGCCAGGAGCGAGCAGCTGCATGCCAATGGCAAGTCAACTAGTCACAATTAAACATGGCCAGAAGCAAATTATGAAAAATTGTGTTACACATTGTCACACAAGATAAACATTTGCATTTAAAATCAAAAAAAGAAAAACAAAAAATATAACAAATATAAATGCAAAGTGAAAATACAAATAAAAATGCAATGCATTCGTGTTTGTGTCTTTCATTAGCCATGCCTCATGCCACACCCCTCTGCCGCGCCACACGCTGCTGTCTGGGCAACCAAAGTGACTTTCAATGTAAACGTCAGCGCTTTGTGCTGTTGACATTTGTGCGCCCAGACGACGAAGAGGATGACTACGACAACGAGGATGAGGACGAGTAGGACAACAAGGACGCGGACAATTTACGATAAACATCTCAGCGGCATGCAAATCCCTTTTAGGAATGTCACCAAGCCCAGGAGAGCACTTCAGCATTTCTAGAGCTGTGATTCCCGGCACAAAGGAAGACTAGCTGACAAACGGCATCCTATTTGGAATGTGAGTGGCAATGCGGCATTAACCAACACTGGCGCACCATTAACATCAACTTCAAATTGCACTTTCAACTCGAGCCGACACTCGACTATTTCGAAAAGAAAGAGAAATTAGTTATCACGAGGAATCACAAACACTTTAAAATGCAATGAAAATATATTTGAAAATTTAGCTTGCAACTTTCTTCGACTTAAGAAAATTCGTACCGAGACTAAATAAAAGAGAGACGAATTAAAAGATGCATCATGCAGGATGCAGGCATAAATAATTTAGCCCCCAGTCTGAGAGTAGTTCCACAAGTCGCAGAGACTTGGTTGCGGATCGCACTCACTGACTGCACTCGGCGCGGAGAGTGGAAATCTTTTGCACTCCGCTTCTCAATTTGTTCATATACTTAAAATTACAAATTGGAAATTTGAATTATTTGATGCCATCGATTTCAGTTGAAAAGTTGGTTTGTGACTGAGCAGCTGAGATTGATGTTAAGCCATGTCTGATGATTGGTAATGAAATGGCAACATGCTGAAAATTGGCTCAATTGGAGCATTGTGTCATGATCAGTATAATTTTTGCTATTTTTCGAAAGATTCCCAATCTGGACACAAATCTCGATCTGTGGCGCACTCGGTTATTGCACGCCGCCTTACTGCATCTTTTTGCCACTCGGACAAGCTGTCTGTGTCTTGGGTTTGAACTGGCAGAGGATCTTCAGTCACGCCTTAGGGCACTTTGAGCGGGGAAACTTGATGCAGCGTTCGTCCGAAGTGGCCGATGCCGGTGTGAAAGGCCTACACTTGATGGGCATCTGTGTGTGGCACTTTTGCGTCGGCACTCGGACACAGCGGGGCATTGCCAATTTACGACGGCTAGTTTCGGTTGCAATGCGTTCGATACGACAAGTTTTTGGCATCTTCTCCAGCACACAGTCCGCCAAGTTTGCCCGATAGTCACGATCCAGACTCTTGCTGGGCTTGTAATGCTGTGCGTCGAATCGTTGCATGTTAAGGCATGGTTCTATACATTCCGGCCGATGAGGTATGTTGCAGCGCTGATAACCCAAACTGGAATGCGCGCGCAGTTCCTCGTCCGTTCTGCACGGCCGGAGCTGTTTGAAATATGCCGGCACGGCTCTCTCCGTTATGCGGCTTACTTTCTTCACCCGAATGGCAGACTTGCAATGTTTGAAGGTGGACATGCAACGTGAGGCTCCAAGCAAACCAATCGAGTGTTGAACACAATTTTCCAAATTCATCAGCGGCATTTTGCTGAATTTGGTTTATTTGTTTTATTTTTGTATATGGTCCAAAACTACTATTGTCCAAAAATGTATTGATTTTGACTATTTTAAACGAACCCATCTTTCAAGGTATTATGACAACAATTACAAAGCCAACTCATTAGTAAACTTAAAGTAAATTTAAAAAATAGGTAATATTCGAGAAATGTTTCTTAAATTTAAATTTTAAGTACATAGTTGAGTGCTCAACAAATAATAGAAACCAAAAAAGCAAAAGCACTCAAGTGCAAAACTCAGCTTGTTCCATGGAATTCAAATAAAAGTTGGTTCACATTTCATCACTTGCGGCAAGTCCTTCGCAGTTAAAGTGCAGCAAACAGTTGGGCAACTCTCGCAAAAAGTTTCAACGTCCAACAATAAACAAAACGCACTAATTAATTAGTGAGTGGGCATTCTTCTGGCCTCCAGCCATCAGCTTCAATCTCTCTGTCCCATTTTGATTTTTTTTTTTGGTTCAGAGTTCTCCTCAACAACTCTATGCGAGATTGTTTTTGGGTTTTGTTGTTGTTGTTGTTGTTGTTTTTTAACTGGCTGCCCAATTGGACTATGGGCAGCTGCCTTGAAATCGAAACGGCCCCCAAAAAGATTGCACCGTCAAATTGTTAACAGCAATTGACCCAATTTTTGTGGAGCCTGCTGCACTCATGCATATTGCGCTTCAGCAGCAGTTGTATAAAAGCGAAAACTGGCCCGCGTCCAGTTAACTGGTCCAAACAGCGCGTACAACGTGCCGTATACTTATTTTATTCTTTTTGTTTGTTTTCCTCTTCTCCCTCACTGTTTTTGTTGTTCAGCAAAATTCATGAGCTTGTTCTGCTGTTGGGCCAACCACTTTAATGTCGACTTTCTGCCTTGCCTTTTATACTTTATGTATTTGGGGTTTTTTTTATTGTTGTGCTGAGCCTCGGAGCCTTGATTGGTATCAAATGTGTGTTAAGTGCGAGAAGTTTATATTTCGATACGAAGTGGAAATTTAAATGCACTTCGGCAGCGATTAGAATCAGTATGAGTTATATCAATGACTTAATTCTAAATAAGACACACAGCCGAATAAATAATCTATATATATATATATATATATGTGTCTGCCGATGAGAGTGATTCTATGTTACTTATTAATGAGCACTCCTCACTCTTTCTCTCTCTCTCTCTCTCTGTCTCTATGTAGACTTTGAATAAATAATGCAGCAAATTAAGTAACGGCAACTTGGTGCCTCAAAATTTCGCATAAAGCACAAATACAGCAATGCACAAATGCAGTTGCCACTTTCGAGCAGTCGGTGCTGCTGTCGGGCTGCTCAGTGAAAGCAGGGCAAGCAGGGAAAGCAGGGAAAGCAGGAGTCGACGAGGTGTGGGGTGGCACATTGGAATGATTTCATTTACTTGCAATCAATGAAATTGCACTGATGCAATTTTGTTTGGGGAGCCAAAATAAACAGCAACTGGGAATGGGGCAAAAGTTGCACAGTTGCATTACACTCAAAAAACAATACGACTTCATTTCAGAAATTCGCAAAGCTTTACAGAAAGTATAGTTCTCAAAATCAGTATTTTGTTTTTTTGGTTTTTGTTATTTGTTGCTTATGTTATTACAAACATTTTAGATACTCAATTTAAAATTGAATTTGAATTGAGCTACTCGGTTTCTAAGGCAGACAACAGCTAAACTCTTCCTTTTTAATTTTTAGTAATTTGTATTTCTTATATTTAAAAATTATTTCTATAAACAAGAAAATCCTTCGAGTTTTTAGGGCGATTTTTTTTTAGAGTGTGCGAATGGGGCAAATGGACAAAAGTAACAGTTGCATTAGTGAAAGCAACTTGCAACTTGAGCGTTGCGAGATGCAGGCAAGCATGAATGCGGGCAAGGATGCTGCGTGGCAAGTGGCCATGCCTGTCTGTCACAACAGCGCTGCAGGCGGCAGCGGGTGGATGCTGACAAAGGAGGGCGGGACAGACGACTGACTGTCTGGCGACAAAATTCAAAGGCAAAGGCAAAGCCAAACGCGGTCTGCAACAGCAGCAGCAGCCAGGAATTTTCTCATATCGGTGGATATTTTTGGCTGGCAGCACGTAGACGCGATAGAATGCGGCATGATCCTGCGCTGCCACACGGCTGCCCCACGGTACTTCCCCGGCAAAAGTTCACGGCTCTGCTGCTGTCACTGACATTAAGTCTTGGCATCGGGTGCGATAGAGTTTTGAGAAAAATGTCAACTAGCTTCTCCCCCGCCCAGACACGATTCGAAAAATGAGTCAAACACATAACCAGCTGGGTAGGTGAGTGTGAGCGTCCTACATTAGCTAGTTGTGCCACATAACTAACCGCTACACACACACACACACAGTCAAACATCGCAGCTGAGTAAAATACGAGAGCAACTTGAACTGGACCGCAAACGGGAGCGAGACGGCGATGTGGCAACAACAACAACAGCAGCATCAGGCAGTCAGGCGGAGATGGTGGGCAATATGCCAGTCATCCTTCTTGCTGCACAACAGCCGCAGGAATTGAGGGAGTCGCCACGCGATGCGTTACCCTCATCGTCACACCAAACGACAGGCACAACAACCGATCAACGAATATGGAGACAAGGTGTTGGATTCGATTCCAAACGAAATACGACTAGGGATTCAAGCGCCAGCACATACAATTACGACCATGAGGAGCCGCTCACCACCAAGACGACAAAGATATACAAAAAAAGTACGTCGTTATTATAATTTTAGTGCTGTATTTGACTATAGATAAAAATAATTAATTCGTTTTTACACATTTCTAGGACCTTCAATAAAGAATCAGGCTGCCGATGATTCCGATGATTCGCTAGCAATACGGGATGCCTCAGCTGTTAGTAGACGCTCTCAGGACGCCTCAGGCAGCAATGTGGATACGGAATTCCCGCTGTCGGACGATACGGATGTGGTTAAGTTCAGCGATGCCACCAGCTCAAAGCTAACGAGCATCGAATCCATTTTGATTAGAGACAACAATTTGGACGATCTGAATCCCAGTGATTTCCAGCAGGGCAATCTGGCCTCAGGCCTGGGCTTCGTAAGTGACTGAGTGGAGTGGCTAAATTAACCACGACTGATCCACCTTATCCACCAGTAGATCTACATGGCCATACCGCCAGATGGTGGCTACGGTTGGGTGGTGCTCGTGCTCAGCTTTCTCGCCCAGCTCATCGTCGATGGCATTGTGTTCACCGTGGGCATATTGCTGCCAAAAATTAGTGAGGAGTTCCATGTGAACAGTGGCCAGGTGGTGCTCGTGGGCAGCATACAAGTTGGCTGCTATTTCTTGGGCGGTGCCTTTTCCAGTGCCCTGATCAACAGCTACGGCTTTCGTCCGGTAGCTTTGCTCGGCGTGATTATCTCGGCGCTGAGCATTCTGGCGGCCAGTTTCAGTCCCAATTTGGCAGCGGTGATATTTTTCTATAGTGTTATTGGTAGGTAAACAATTTGCACCACTGTTAACCACTCAATTCGATGCGATTATTGTCAATCTGCAGGTGGACCCGGTTTGAGCATGATCTGGGTGAGTTCACAGATCATTATTGGGTATTACTTTGAGCGATATCGTCCCATTGCCAGTGGATTTTCCTGCTCCGGCGCTGGTGCTGGCATCTGCATCTTCTCCATTACGAACAACATTCTCGTGCAGCACATTGGCTGGCGGAATACGATACGGTTTCAGGTGATGCTCATTTGCCTGCTCTTCTTTGTGGCTCTGGCTTATTCGGAGGTTGCTCCGACTCCAGTGGCAGTCATGCACTCAGATCCCTTGTCCACATCCAGTTCGAATGAGTATTATGGTAATTTCTATGTGCATTACTTTCTCGGCGATGAAGTCGGCTCCAGGAAATCTCGCCATGTGCTCAACTCTTATGAGCCGCCCAGAAAAAAGAAGAGCAAATTGCGACGATGTGCAAAATTTTGTTGTCCCTGCTGCATGAAGCCGGATGCCAAACATGAACCCTCCGAGCGTTCCGAGCTCAACTATGTGGTGCGACCGGATCCCATACAGCGCGATGATCTCTTCTATACGGGACCCGCCGACTACGAGAAACCCCACAGCAGGGAACAGTTCGATGGCAAGCAACTGGAGTTGGTGGGCAGTGAATCGCATGTCAGTCACAATTTAATGAAATATATTTTGTGTTTTAATATAACTTTCACTTTGAATCCAACAGCTGCAAAGAGCTGCTTATGGTTTACACAACATCAAGGATTACGACAACACCAATGCTAGTAAGCCTGCTTCCGTTCAAAGTCCACTCAGCCCGGTGCGTAGCCCGCCCACGAGCCCACCGTTGAAACGGTCGAAGAAGTCACGGAAAGGCAAGAAAAACTGGCTGCGGACGAAGATTGTGAGAGCGCTGAATCGCCTCTTCGATGCGAATCTGCTGAAGAACTTTGAGTTTCGCATTCTGTTGGCCTCCGCCTTTCTCTATCCGATGGGATTCAATATACCCTTCGTGTACAGCAAGATGCGCACCACAATACCAATGCAGTATGCCCAGATGATATCCCCCGCCATCGGTGCATCCAACTTCCTCATACGTAACCTGTGTGGCTTTGTCGCCTACAAGCTGAGAGGCTGGACCAACTACATCTGCGGCGGTGGCATGATGCTCGGCGGCGTTATGGTCTTCATTAGCGCCTTCTATGGCAACGATTTAGTGTCGTTTCAGTTTGTTTACGCCGTCTGCTTTGGCGTCGCACCAGGTAAGCTTCTAACACAGCAAAACAATTTTGGTTTAGGTTTGGTCAAATTCAAATTTGAAATTTGAATCTTATAAACTAAGATTTTAAAAATGTAATGCCAAAATTTGATTAACGTGCTTTAAGTGCTAAAATACTAACCCGAACTTACCCACCCTTCCACTCTTCCACATGCCACAATCAGCTGTCTTTGCCACACTGCGTGCACTGATTTATGTGCGCTATTTGGGCCTCTCGAAGCTGACGAATGCTTTTGGCATAACCGCCTTGGCCATGGGCTTGGGCGTCTTTATTGGCACCACACTGGGTGGTATTCTGGTTGATCGAACTGGTGGCTATGTGGTGCCCTTTGCCTTTGCCGGCATCTGTATAATGTTCTCCGGGGCGCTCAAGTTGATTTTGCCGGTGCTGTTGAAATGTCGCAAAACTAACAAGTATAATTGAAAACCGTGTACAGTTTACGATGCATTGATTTTATTGGTTGTTTTTGTGTTTTTTTTTGGTTTTTGTTGTATTTTACAAAATGTCTTATGCACTTGCAGTTTATATTTGTTTTTATTATTACATCATCATCGAGTGTGTGTGTTTTAATCTCTAATTTGTAATCATTTTGCATTCATTTGATTTATTTTACATTTTATTGGCTGCCACGAGCAGTGGCTCTCCAGCTCTATGCACCTCAAACTTTACAGCTGGCTCTCAAACTGTTTTCTGAACTCAAATTGGAATTGGATTTACTTTGCATATAAGGGAGCGAGTGCCTAAGATATTGATCAAGCAGTGACTCGCAAACTGTCAAAACCTTTTCTAGCTATAATAATTCTTTTTGTTGGTGTTTTTCTGTTTTTTTTTTTTGTTTTTGTCTCTTTTTACTAAAACTGTGTGTGTTGGCTCTCAAAAAACCGCATTGAATTTGCTGTAGTTAACAATTTTTGCAATTCCAATTAAAATTCAAATTGCTTGCATTTTGTGAGCTTAAATTGAGTTTCTGGTTCATAATGTGTTTGCCTTTTGCTGCTCAACTCAAATTTAATGTTTATCCACTTTATATTTTTGTTATCTCTCGAATTGTTCGTCGGCTGCTCTCAATTGTGATTCTCAAACTGTTCTGTGGTTGTATGAACATGTTGTAGGTACTTTTTAAACTCGATTTAAATCGACTTCTGTTGTCCAATTTGCTGTTGTTGTTCGTGTTATTTTGTTGCCCTTTATTGCATTGTGGTAAAGTTTAATTAACTTAGTTTTACATCTAATGTTAGCTTAATTTTTGTTTTTGTTTTTACCTTGTTTGGTTACGCAAATGTTCACGCTTTGTTTTTGTTTTTGGTTTTGGTTTTTACTTTGATTCAGTTAATATACTTCGGATATGCGAAAATGGTTCAATAAATAGTTAACTAACGAAAAATGAGAAGAACATATTAGAAATATCTAAAATTGTAGCTTTATTTTAAATTTCTAATATTATTATTACATTTATTACTCTTGCATTTATTGATTTAATTTCTCGCAAATTATTGAACCACTCTCGCTATCGACTTGCATCTTAAAATTAAATGTCTACTTTTAAGTTGTTTCTTTTTTATGGGTTTTAAGTTTTTTTTTTCTTTGGATTTGCTTCTATATATATTTATATATATATATATATATATGTTTAATATATGACACATATTATGAAAGTTCTGCTTGATTTATACAAAAAAATGTGGCTTAAGCAACAGAATTGAAGAACTTAAATTATATGCATAGAATTCTTTAGCCAAATGTATGTGTGTGTGTGTTTGTGTGTTAGTATGGGTGTGTGTGTGTCTATGTTTTTCATTAAATCCATTTTGTTTTAAATATTGTCAGTAGTCTTCGGTTTCATATGCAATTTTCTTTTTTTGTTTTTATTTTTATTTTTTATATATTTGTCGAAAATCTGCATTTGCGTGCATGAATTTTTTTAATTTTTATTTTTTCAATGAATTTTCAATTTCGTATCGTAAACTAAATTTAAATTAAAATCGTTCAGCAGGTGTTCTCTGGGAGGGGGTTGCACTCGGCCTGCCTGGTCTGGTCTGTCCGGCTGGGTGTGTTTTTCTTTTACTCTTTCTCTATGTTGTTGTTGCTGATTTGTTTTCCTTCTCTTTCTGTCTCTCTCTCTCGACACAAGAAGCATTTTCTTATGACTTAAATTAAAATTGTATTTATATGGCCTGTGCAGTTGCATGGCGCGTAGTTCATGTGTCGGAATCGGACCTGCAGTGTCATCATTTGAGAAATTAAATGCATATCTGATACGGTTACGGGGAATGTCAATGGTTGGGATATATACGAATGGTGGCTACTTACCAATTAAAATAGGTCTGCGGCCCGTGACAGTTGCGCTCGGTGCCGCACCACTTCGATTGCTGGAGCGCCGGACAGGGTCGTCCTCCACGTTTGCCATGCTTGATGACTTTGCGATATCGATGCATCTCACCAATGCCACAGCTCTTGCTGCAGGCCGTCCACTCGGACCAGTGGCTGACGCGACAGTCGCGACGCCGCTTCGATCCCAATGGACTGCGACGTCGCGTTGACGCTGACGATGCGGATGCAGATGCAGATGAAGATGCGGATAATGAAGAGTACTCTGAGGCGGATGTGGCCTTTAACGAGTGGCTGTTGTTGTTGTTGTTAACATTATTGGCAGCAGCAGTAGCAGCAGCATCGTTGCGCCTATAGCTGTTGGCAATGCTCTGCATCAGGGCATGCTTGTCGTTCTTGGGCACCACATTCACAGCGCCCGGCTGTTGACTGTTGTTGTAGCTGCAAGTGCAACATTTAATTATATTAAATAAACATAATTATTCAGTTATGCAATTCACTAATTGCTTCTTGATAATGAGACAGCATTGCTTTCAACGAATAAGAAGTTGTAACCAAATGAATGCAATTTTGATTCCGGTTTGAAATTAACGTTTAAATTATAATCTCATAAGAAGCGTGTCAACTTTTGATTTCTGTTGAAATTCATGTTTAAATTCTAACTGAAATGGCTGAAAATATACAATTGCCATAATTCTGTCAAATTACTTCTGCAACATAAATTTATTCCCTTACATTTTACTCATATTCTTCGATCAATATTTAAATTAAGCAAGAATTTCATTTAACAATTTATAAGTTGCTGGCAAATCAATTTGCTTTTTGATTTTGTTAAGCAGCTCCGAACATAATACGCTGCGTTACAAGCACGGTTTTTGTACTGCTTAACACAAATACTCACACGCAACACACACACACACAGATATACACATTCCACACAGAGATTACACATACGCCATGTTGTAAGGTGTTTTCGCTTGGCGCTGAGCGCGTTTCGTATTTCAGCACGTCAACTGTAGACAATTTCAATTTAAATTGCCTTTTGCAGTTTTCCCTGTGTGGATTCACGTGTGCGTCTGTGTGTGTGTTTGGGTGTGTGTGTTTGGGTGTGTGTCTGTGTCTGTGTTGCCTGCTTCCAAAAAGCAGCGGACACGGAAACCAGGCCAGTGAGAGAGATTCAGCGGCAGAGTCAGAGGCGGAGGCAGAAGCAACATTTGCTGTGCCGCCGTTGGTTTCCTTCCTTCCTTCCTTCCTGGCTGACTTCCGTGTTTTGTTTCCTGCACTTTTCGTTTATTTGCATACACATGCCGTGCAAAATCGCGCAAATAATAATGAAAAGAGAAATCAGTAGGGAAATGGGTATGCGAACAGAACGGAGGCAAAGCAGCACCCCGAATAATGCCAAGTAAATTGGCGAAAATATTGAAAAACATGAGACTAAAGAGTCGAACGAGTCGACAGGACAGGCTTGAAAGCCCCAAAAAGCCTCGCAACTGTCGTAAGGCGGGAAAAAGCGTGGAAATGCATGGAAAGACATGGGAAAGCAACACACATTTGCCAGAGGCGGCGCAGCTGCCTGCGAAAAGTAATGAGCAAAATTCCCCAAATTGAAATTACAAACATTTCTATTTTTTTTTTTCTTTTTTGGGTAAGAAATTTGTGCCAACAAAAACACACACACTTGTGTGTGAGTGTATATATATGTGTGTGTGTGTAAGTGTGTTGAATGGCAGTTATTAGCAACAATTTGCGTTAATCATACTTATGGCAATTACCGTTAGGCGAGCGCATCAAACTCTAACTGTTATGCGCAATTTGAGAGGCCGCTAAAAGTATGAAAAATATTATTTCACATTTGACATTTTACTCGACTTCAAACCTGTCAATAATAATTCATAAGAGTTGAATTTGATATTGCGTATGTGGCATAAATGTACACTTAAGATAATCCCACTTAATCTTATTAAAAATATTCAACTACAAAGTTCCCTTGCTTAACTCTTAGTTTACTTTTTGCTTAGACATTCCCTGCATTTCTGCCTTGAATGGAACTTTTACTATTTTTCAGCTACTTGCTTAAGGCTATTACTCAAATTCCTTATCTGTTCTGAGTAATTGCTGTAGGGATAAAAAATAACTAGTTTTTCATTCAGAAGGCGCTCTTTTTATGGGGAATTTTCTTGTTGTGCTTTTGATAAGTCTCGATAAATAAATAGATAAGAGCAGTAATTTGCTGACTTTCATATGCCCAATTAAATGCTCAGAAACTTGCGCTCACAAAACTTAACAATTTATTCACAGTCACAAGTTACAGGAAATAGATATAGGACACATATGTATACAAAAGATATTCATAAAGATATATATATAGTTGTAGCTTAACATACACACACACACAGGGCACAAGTGTTGGGGGCATTATTGAATGGCACAACAACATACTTCTGGCTGGGTGTAGACAGTGGCGGTGGCCATCTGTGGTTGTACGCCCACAACAGCGGGGCGTGGCGGCCCGTAGGTTTCGACAATGACTGGCGGCGGCGCTGGGGCACCGATAACAACTGGCGGACCGCCAATAATCACTGGCGGTGGCGCGAAGCCAATGCCAACGCCAATGGGCGGGGGGCGTGCGCCAATGTTAACATCCACATTGACATTGGTGCGTGGTGGTCCGGGACGATATCCGGGTCCGGGCGGTGGCGGACCATAGCCACCGCCGCAACGTGCCGGTCCGGGTCCAAAGGCGCGTCCTGGCGGCGGCATCTCGCACACTAAATCGATGAAATCGTGGTTAGTTCAGCGACGGTTGACCGTTGACCGCTGACCGCTGACTGAATGCCATCAAAAGTGTTTTATTCACTTTGAGCAGTTGCCCGGTGGCAGCTCGAGTGGCCCACCATAGATCTAATTAATAATCAATTACGATTTTGTCAACGAGCGGTGATTTTGTTCCGTCTTGCCACCAATGATTAGATAAGATGGCGACGAAAGGCGGCTTAACTTCACATGCGCATAGATAAGGCAAGCTTTGTCATCGATCTCGAGCGATGACTGTGCGTGTTGATAGCGCGAGGAATGTTTACAACCAACACACACACATACACACACAACAAACACACACACACAAATGTCACATAACATTATAATAATATTCGAATTTTCATATGTCTTTCAACAGGTGGCAACTCTGTTAAGCAGCCAAATGTTATCTGACAGTGATCTAATCTGATGTAAACATCTAACATTCTGTTAAGCATTTAACATTATGTTAAGTAATCAAATCTTCGAATTTTCTGTTAAATTAAGTGAATTATTTATTGAGAGTCTCAAGTCGTTCGAAATTAGTATTCAACCTTAATAATACTATTATTTATTATTAAATATAGCTAAATTGCAGCTATAAACTGACCAATTTAGAATCTTAAAGCAGTACTCCAAGTATCTTAGGCAATGATGCAGCAGCAACGTTTTGAAGGCTGCTGCTGTTGTGGTGTGGCAGACAAATCTGTGCTGACTCTGTAGGTGCTGCGGCGCATATCGTTGTTGTCCTCGCTTACCATCCCCACCAGCACCAGTGGTGGTGCTGGCGTTGCAGGTGCAACAGCAGGCAGCGGCTGTTCCTCAATGATGATCTCCGTTTCGGTTACGGTGCTTACATTTTCAGTTGCTGCTCTTGAACTGGGTGTTGTTTGTTGTTGAACTGTTGGCAGCGGATTCACTGAATTCTGTGCTGGCATCTGCAAATCTGTTTGCAATACAATCTCCTCGATGAGTACAGGTGCAGGTGCTGGAGATGGCGTAGATGCTGGAGGTGGTACAGGTGCTGGAGGTGGCACAGGTGCTGGAGGTGGCACAGGGGCTGGAGGTGGTACAGGTGCTGGAGGTGGTACAGGTGCTGGAGGTGGTGTAGATGGCATAGTCTGCAATTGGCTATCTATGATGAGTGCCGCAGTTGCTGTTTCGATTGCTTGTAAGGTTATCTGACTGCATTCTGAGCTGGTGGGTGAGGGTGGTGGCAATGGCGCCGTTGGCTCTGCTGGTGCATCCAAGTCCGTTAGCCAAACAACTTCCTCAGTGGGCGTCAGATAAGGTGGTGTTGAGCTGGGCAGTGGTGGTGGTATCTCTGGTGCTTGCTGTTTGTTGTTCGAACGATGATGATGACGATGATGATGCTTACGATGATGACGGGGTTCGCTTTCATCGGATACAATCTCAATAATATCCAAGCCATCATCGCTGATATCCGTGATAGTTAAAGTTGTTGGCCTCTGAGATTGAGGATCTTTGTGATGATGCTTATGATGATGATGATGATGATGATGTTCACGTTTTGCTGCCGTTGGCGTTGTCTCAATTGTTGTTATTTCAATCGTTTCGCTTATTATCCCATTATTTATCGATTCACTTGTGCTAATTTCCTCGATTGTTGTTGCCATTCTAAGTTTTTTTTTTTTTTCGTTTGGTTCCGTTGCGTTTTCGTTCTGATTGTTAACTGAAAGTTTACAGTCCCGACCCAGCCAATTTATAGTCCAAGTGTTTATGTCATAGCAAATATATTTTCATACAACAAATCCTTACGAATATATGCTAGTCTCTGATAAAACTGATAAGATAGCTGCCAAAAATGTTTGTTAACTCATTTGGCAACTATTCGACTTGGCATTCGATTTTTGTGGTTCCTGTTCTTGTTCTGTTGACTGCTCCCCAACTTTGGTTTCTTGCTTTATGGCTTTCTGCTTGCTTGGCTCTAGAAAATACATTAGTTTTCATTAAGCATTATTACAACCTCCAATTTTATCTGATCTGATTGGTTTGATTCGCTTACTTCGCTTCCGTTGTTTTGTTTGTTTGTTTTGCTTTCTTTGTGCATCAGTTGCACTTGCTGCAATGATGCAAAATGTTCCCGCGTTCATATTTGTTTGTTATTTGCGGACGCAGGTAACTCAACTGTTGGCCATTTCTCTGATTTGCTCAACTTTTATAAGTCAGGACCGTGTGCATTTAACCAACAAGGTAAATACTGATAAGATAGTAATAGATAGATCAAAGCTGACCATATGTTTTGGGCTCATTTGTTAGCTTTTGACTTTTGACTATTCGAGTAAAGTAATTGATAACTTAATGTCGTCATGGTTTTTATTTACTGTGTTCTTGCAATTCTAAGGTAAATACAAAGTTCATGGCACGTTCACAGTTTATAAGATATGGCATTTGACATTTTTAAATTTTTATCTTGTGATTTGTTTTGATTTGTTTATTAACGCATGAATTATTGAGTCATAATCTATTATTATTATATAGTTATCAAAATTGTTTAAAGTATTTAAATTAGGTGCCAAAAAATAATATTCCTGCTATTACCTTTTTTTGTTCGATTTCAGTACTACATTTATTAAATTTCTTTGTTTTTCTGCTTTCATTTTGGGGTATCTATGTCTTTAATTTCCTTGCCTTTGTCTGTCGACTTATTGGTTGTCTGTTTTGGCATTGTTTCGTTACCACTTTTGGTTGTGGTTCTTGGCTGTTGCACTACAAATATTTTATAAATTTATTAATTGTTGCACACTGGTGTTTTAGGGTTTCTCTGCTCAGTTATTTGCTGCTGCGATTGCTGTTGCAACAATCGCCGGTTCTCTAGATGTTATTTGCTGCAAGTATTGTTGCCGCTGGAGGCTCGCGTTGTTCATGGCAGCCAGTAGTTATCGAGGCAGAACTTAACACAAGTGTGTTGTGAGTGTTTAGTGTGTTGTTTGGTTTTATAGTAATGTGAGTTAAGCTTGGCGGCATTGATAAGATACCATAAGATTCGGAGTAATTAGACAGTCTTTAGAAGCACGACATTTGTTGGCATTGCTGTTGGACTGTGCTGTCAGCTTGCCAATAACGCTGTTTTCAAGGCGTTTCCACGCCCACGCCGTTGCTCTGGCAGAGGTTTTTTCTTTCCCATTCTCTCTGTTCAATATTTGTTTTTGGCACTCGAACACGTACGCGACGACTTACAGCCTGCCCAGGATCTGGGCTTGGGTTTGAGTTTGGAATGGTCTTGGGGCTTGTCATTAAATATGCAGGTTACCAGTGCCAATGCTGCCAAAAATCCGTTTTTGAAGCAGCAGCAGGAGCAGCTCCAGTCCCAACAACAACAACAACAACATCAAAGTGGGCGTGACACTGGATTAGTTGTAGTTTTGTGTTCGGATCCTGCACGTCGAGGACACTGAACCGACTTTGCTCGAGTTGCTCAAGTTGGATTTCAGTTCTTAAGGTTTTCCTTTTGCGTTGCCTTTCACACAAATATACCTCATTTTTTGAGGGTAGTTTGGTTTTGTCGTAAGATGTATAAGACATTAATGGAACTGCCACGATATGTATATCCCTTTCTCAAGAAATTTCTCCTGCTTTGGTTTTTAATTTGATCCGTACTCTTTTGAAATCAGTTTTCAATATTAGACTACGTAGAAAGATGAAATGTTTAATGCTTATACAAATTCAACATCAAACTACTTCTTATATCACCTTTATCAACAATCTCTCAACAATTAAGTTGTAGTTGCTAATTAACTAGAAGATGTTCTCTAATTTGAAAATAAATGCATTTTTTAATAGTAGAACTCCGTTTTGTTAGAGTATTTCAACTTCAACCCGTTCCAGAATTGTTTTAGTTGCGTTGTGTGGCATGCTCTTTAAAGTTGCAGCATTAGCCCAGTTACGTGCCAACATCTCAGTCGGTGTCTCAGGCGTTTTAACACGCTACCCACACCCATGCCACATCCGCCCCCCCCCCACTCTTTCTCACACCCTCCTGTTTGTGTGAGAAGGGTGTAATGTGACTTGAAGTGTGCCAGAACAGGTTTTATATGTTGTTGCCTTTGTTTTTTGCCTCTCAGCTGTTTTAGATGTGTTGCAAGTAGTTTGCCACGTCGAGGCAGAAAAAACACACCTGCCGCATATGCTAAGTTTGTGTGTGGGTGTGTTTGTGTATGAGTGGGTATGGGGCGGGGAGCAATTGATGTTTTGCTGCCATTGGCAAGGATATGCAGATAGATTTCTAGTCGTAAAACTGCATGTCGTCTTCATATTGCGCATACGTTAAGTGGGCCAACAAAACTTAATGCTTTATATATATAGACAAATACTAAGATTTATATTTAATATGTTAAGCTCTGTCAAATAACTAAGAAATTACATCGTCTTAGTTGGGGCTTTACTCGGTGGGGGAACTTCACATTACGTATACGTCGAGTAGGTTCTTTTGTTTATTTGCCTTGTCATCATGTGTTCTTTTTATATCGTGTTTGTTCATTAATCACTTGCCTATATTTGACCTGCTGTAATTATTTTGTACTTGGCCATGTGTAAAATTAAGCTTTTGAACTATTTATACATTTGAAGGTCAATATTATTTTTAGGGAAAATTGTGATTGATTAACGCTTAGCTCAGTTAAAAGCCTAAGTATTATCAGCATTATTGATTGGCTTATTGATTTGATTTAATGAGAAAGTGGGGAACAACTTTCGTATTTCGATATAATGTGTATAACTTTCTAATCAAATTTCTTCTAGAACAAAATGAGCACATTATAAAAAGCTAAAAAAATTGGAAGACAAAGAATTTTCTGCTTAAACTGCTTGCTTTTATCATTTTACTAAAGAATCATAATAATATCGGCAAATTTCTTAATTTTATTTTATTATTTCAAACCATTTTAAGAAATATATCTATCTATGCTACCAATACTGTTCAAATATTCAAAAGAATTTAAGCCGATTAAAAATAGTTAGTAAATTTCCAATAACTTCATTGCATTCTCAAAAATTCCACATCAATTCTGAGAAGATTTAATATAAATGTTAAATAAGAAATATTGCTATTGCTGTTGCTGTTGCTTGTACTCACTTGGGATTCATTTTGGCCAGCAGCTGGGAGCGAATGCGTTGCCTCTCATCATTAAACTGTTGCAGCTGCATCTGTTGCGGTGTCTGCTGCTCCTGTCGCTCCCTCTCCCGTTGCCGCTCCCTCTCAATGCTCGCGGATAGCTCGTTGTTCATCTCGACGTGATTGTGCTCGGCATCCAGGTGGGTTTGTGTCTGCACCGTTTCATATTTGCGATCATCCTCGGCAATGTTGAATACCTCGCTCAGCTCGTACTCCTTCAGCTGCAAATAAATGGCAAATGGAACATGGGAATATGTTGATTATCCAACGAAGCAAAAGCAAATGTTAAACACACACGCACGCACACCTGGAACACAATGTGTGTCTGTGTGTGTGCAGCATATTAATTTACGCGGATTATGTGCCCTGCATGAGCAAAAGCGAGTGCCGCCAGTTAAACACTGAACACAGATGCATGAGTAGCTGCAAGCATACGTTAGTCAGTCTGTACACTCTCCGAAATTGGGCAATCAAATCAAACTCAATTGAAACTAAAAACTGGAAAAAGCATCAGATTAATAAATATGTAAAAATATCAGAATTTACTGCAATTGAAATGCAAGAAGTGTTTACCATTTTACTAACTGAATGAGTTAAATAAGAATCACATATTTTGAACAGTGTATTCGAGTGTGAGTACAGGTGCGCCTAACGCGCTGCTAATTTCAATTTGTGGCAAATATTGACACAGACACACACAAGCGAGGGACGACCATACGCCAGGTGTGTGCGGGATGTGCGGAGGGTTAGCTAGGTGTAGTTAGCAGGGGTAGCTATAGCTAATATATATATATATATATATATATATATATAGTCTCTCGTGACAGCGGTGACTAGGAACACGGGCAGTCCAAAAAAACTTTTTTGTTTCGAGCACGCTGTCGCGCATTTTAATTTATTTGTTTGGGACTGGCTGTCATTTTCTATAAAGCGAGCGCCACTCGCATTGTTATTGCCACACATTGCTGCTGTTGTTGTTGTTGTTGTTGGTGGTGGCGCCACACTTTGGAGCCCGCAGCAGCAGCAGCAGCAGCTTATCAGGGGCTACCTTTCGCAAATGCGTCGACAGCGCCGACTTGCTTGCTTTGTGGCATTAAAGCACTCACACACACACACACGGTAAGAGACACAAGCAAACACACATATAATCCGCATAGCTGTGAAATTCCTGGTGGATTACAAAAACAGACCTAGATCTAAATCCACAGGCTACAGCTTAGTGTCTCCGTCTATGTGTCTCTGTCTGTTAGTCTCCCTCTCTCTCTCTCCCTCTCTCTCTCTCCCTCTCTCTCTCTCTCTCTCCCTATGTTTCTCACACATTCCATTCCAATCCGAGATTTCACATTTCAGGCATTCCTCTTCAGCATTTCTACAAATTTAAGAATTTAATGCTCAACCAAATCAACACATAATTACAACGAACAGCGGAGAGTGTGCGGGTGTGTGTGTGTGTGTGTGTGTGTCTGCATATTTAGTAGTTGGCCGGGTCCACATGTCTTGGTCATAAAATGAAGCAGACGTCCATTCTCGTCAGTAAATAACTTTCCATTTCGTTGGCCATAAACAAAAGTAGCCAAATATAAACAGAATAAAAATAAACACTTCTCTCAAACATAAAGAAATTTGAGTACTCTACAGTTACAAATTTGATTGAATAAGAAAATTGTAAAAATAAATGTATAAAAGTCATTTAGATAAAGCATTTAAGTGTCCATTTGGTTAGGGTCTATTTAAGTTGTTTTTTCCTTCACTTCACAGATTATTTAATATATACTTTATTTTATCTTTTACTTTCATGTGAAATTTTAAGTGTTATTTTAACCTTTTATTGAATAAATAAATGAATAAAATAAGAGAATAAACATTTTCCTGTATTTTCAACACTTCCCAAATTCTATATACTCGAGGTAAGAGCATTCAAAGGAGTAGACACTTTTAGGCCTTCCCTTCCCACAATTGCCACGCCTGCTGCCTGCCATACAAAATAAAACTAGAATTAGTAGTGTCAAAAAGGCGTTACAATAACAACGACAACGACAATGACGACAACAACGAGAGCTAGAGCAGCAGCAACAACCACCGCAACAGGACGAACAGGAGGAGCCGCTGGCCAGGGAGCTGGCCAACAAATAAAGAATAATGACCACACGTACCGAGTTACTGCCACGCCCACACCAAAAGCTCAGCCCCCCACACGCACTCCTGCCCCGCAGTCCGGGCAAGTAAACTATGCAAACGTAGTCGAAACATCTGCCAGCAGCAGCAGCAACAACGTTGGGCGTAAATTTTATGTGCGTCTTTCGGCCGCACATAAAAGCAATTTTGATGAGCGGCTACGACGACTACAAGGCTACCCCCACGACGGGGTTGGTACAGAGGGAGGGGGCGGGGGAGGGGTTATACTGGGGTCTCTGGTCCTCTATATGCATTGTGAGTTGTAAGTGCCGCACTTTCTGTAACATCCTACGTCCAGCAATATAATTACAATGCCTGAATTGCCTTTCTCTCCGCATTCATGGGTGTGTGTGTGTGTGGGTGTGCGAGTGTGTTTGTGTGTGTGCGAGTATGCTTGTGTGTGTGTGAGTGTTTGTGTGTGTGGGCGGTTTTAGTACCAACTGCCTCTGCTTCTTCTGCTCGCATTGAGGGATTTTCTTCTATTCTGGTAAGGCCGTAGCAAATTTTGCATTAGCATTGTGCTGCAAATGGTTCACGTTCACGTTTCACGATTTGTGGCAGCTAATGGATTGCCGCTTATTAAGGTCCCTGCCTTCCACTTCCACTTCAACTTGCCCTCCACCCCCACAACTGCAATGACTAAAACAGGTCTCTTTCATGGGTGGTGGGGAGGAAACAAAGATTATGTAAGTTAGATAAGGTAATGGCGATTTAGAAATAATTTATTGAATCCAAGTGTAACCTTTAATTGACGAGCACTTCGGGGACCGACAGAATTTATCTAATCACCAAGAGAAACTTGGCAATTGTTATGGATAATGAAATTGATTGGGGGGCAATAAGAACTATTCGAATAAATGTATGATTGTAATAGCAATAATGAAGTGCTGCTCATAAGGGTCTGTTACTATTTATAAGTTTTGAAAAGTTCAAGAATATATGTTCCCATTTGGTTAGAGTCTGTTTATTGGTTAGAGTCTGTTTATTCTGCTTTTAATGTAAAAACCAAATTCCATTTACAATTTTTCCATAATTTTCTGTTCCTTATGTATCCATAATTAAAATGAATTTGAAATTGCTCTTTTGTGTTCTTAACTTTACAGCAGCTTTGATTTTCATGCGTTTTCACCATTTCCATCTTTCCCAACTTATAAAATTCATATAATTCGCAATGGTTGCCAGAACATCCTCATAAAGCTACGAAAACTGCTTTATTTGTTTGAAACTGAGATTTACGAGCATGAAACAATAAATTGATTTCGATTTTGTTTTAAGCTGTTCGAAGTTGAGAACCTCTTTGACCGCATAGTAATAATAATAATAAATTCCAAATAACGACCGCTGTTATATATACATATAATATATTAGTAGAGGTATTACAGCTAAACAGTTTTGGCCTTGTCTGAAACTCACATCTGTTTACCCCAACATGCTAATGATGCCAACAAAATATTCATAAGAATTACATGTTATTTTCCGTTGGATTCTCACAACTCAACAGCATGCATTTAATTTTAATGTAATTAACATTATTTTTTCCACCGCTGCTTTTTTTTAACAAAAAACTTTTTTGTGCTCGCGGGTTCCTTTATTTCTGTGTGTGTGTCAGCTGTGTGGCGGAGGCAGCTGATTTATCAAGCGCATTAACACGCAGCCACAGGAATATGCTTTTTACCCACGGAACACACCCACAACCACACACACACACGCAGCACACATTCCGCACACATACAGACACACACACACACACATACTTATACACACGCAATGCTGTTACACATGTTTGACGCCATTGTAATGCTAATGGCTCATTAGCACTTTGATTTTTTTCGGAATGGGTTTCAAGTGTGGGGCAAGTAGTAGGGATTCTCGCAAATGAAAAGTCATTAGGACTGTAAACGGTGGCAACATTTTGACTGCTAATTTGCAGTTAATTAACTTGTTTAAGTTGTTATTTTTTTATTTTCTTTTTGTTATTTTTCAAGAGCATTTGGAGTAGCTGTTCACGCTTACCTTGATAAACTGAAATGTGGCAATGGGCGGCAAACGCTTGCTCTTTGGATAATAGAAACTGCCGGCAGGATGTGCCGGATATCTCGAGGTGATGCGATAGATGACACCCTGCGGCGCTGTTGGCCAATTGGGTGCGGTAAAGGTGAAGCCATTGTCGGTGCCAGCATCCAATGGGTCCAATTCAACGGTCACCGTATCAATCCATGATCCACCCACGCACAGCTATAAAGAAAAGCAGAAATGCAACGTTTTCAATGATTTGTGATTTGATTTGGAGTTCGAGTTGACTTGAATAAATGCTTACCTCGAACGAATCGACGCCTACGAACCAATCCGGCGATGGCACAATGCGCGTCATTAGCGATACCAAACTGTGATTGCTGTCGACAAACACTTTTGCCTCGCTCCTCCCCTCGCCCAGCTGTATTGCCGGCAGACTAAACTCATCAAATACGCTGCGTTCACTCATTGTGGCAGTTGCTGCACCTGCTGCCAGTCCAGCTCCAACTCCAACTCCTGATCCAGTTACCATATTTGATTTTTGTGCCTGCATTTGCTGTTGCTGCTGTTCACCGGCATTGCTGTCCAGCAGATCTGTTTTACCCGTTTCGGCAAACTGTTTGACGCCAGCCGTTGCCGGCTGTCCAATGTGATAGAGTGCATAGTTCGCATTGTGTGTGCGACCTGCGCGGAAGAGAGAGCGAGAGAGAAAGCAATCTGAGTAAGTTATTTACATTTAATGAGCTTTAACAAAAAACTAAAATAAAAGTTGAGAGAAACAATTGCTGCAAATCGTGCAAACATTTGCAGTTTCCGCCGGGCCGGCTCGCTGGCAAACACTCAACGGCTGCTGCCGGCAGCTGTTTTCATTTGCTGACAGCGTAAATATCACATTTAGTATACGCAATGTGGCGCTGATTGCGCTTTTAATTGCCTTAGAAGGGATCTGTGTACCTTCAGTTATGTGTGTGCAACGTGATACTATTTTGAGCGAGTCATTAACAAAATGCAAGCTCAGGTGTTGCAACTGCATTAAGTTGCAATTATAAGATTCTTATGTTATGCTATAACATCAACTATATAATACATCATCATTTTCTAACTCAATCCAGAAATATCTAACTTTCCAAATAAAAAACCTGCAGAACAACTTGTCATCAGAAGTTTTATAATTATTTATATATATTTTTCTTTGCTCACTTTCTATTAAGTTGTGCATTCGCAAATGTTTGCAGAGTTTCTCATGTTTTAAGCAAAAAACTTGAGCTGTGCTCTATTTAATTAAAGCCAGAAGCATACCATTTTGTTTATGGCTTATGCAAAAGCCGTCAACTTCTCTTAATCTCAATTGCATTTCTGGCAAGACAGCAGTCCATGGCAAAAGTTTGAGCAGAGCCAAAGCCAAAGTCCCAACAGACCGTCATTTCCGATTATTGGCAAGCGAACCAAAAGTATGCAACAAACTTGTCAATTACACAAAGTGCAAGGCAAAATAGCAAAAAAAGAAAATGTTGAGAAGCAAAGCATAAATAATAATATTGCATTTGACACACTTTCAAAACAGGTTGTTGGTCACACAGTGCTTCCCCTAATACACAACCACACCTCCCCCCTCACACGCCCCCTCAACTAGCTGGCGGCATTGCACAAAAGCGCAAAAGTTGAAAAGGCAAAAATATGCTTTGTAGTCGAGGCTTTCATTAGTTCGTTCAGGGGGTGTTGTCAAAGCACAGCACAGAAAAAAAAACTTGTAAATTAAAAATAAGTAAGAGAGATAGAGAGAGAGAGATATAGAGGGAGGGAGAGAGAGATTTAGAAAGAGAGAACAAAACTAATAAATAAGCTGACACACTGCGGGAGCCATTGAAAAAAGCAAAGAAATATCTCAAAGAAGACAAAAAACAAAAAGGAAACAGAACAAGGCACAGAAACAAAAAAAAAAGTGGCACAAGTGGCATGTTGCAATGTTAATTGAATACAAATAAAAGCCTAAAGACAGCAGAGCAACAAGATAGACAGAGATAGCAATATGAGACAGAGAGAGGGAGCGAGACAGATGGGGGCCGAGTGCTGCAAAAGACGAGTCAGAAAACGTAGATGAAAACAGACAGAAAACCGCAGCAGCAGCAGCATCTGAGGCAGAATCAGGCGGATATAACTTCAAAGGCGCTGCAGCGAAAATGATAGATGGGGGCGTGGTCGAGCGGCAGCAGGGGATGGCAGCAGGGGAACTGCGGCAGCGTGTGACAATTTCGTCAAGTCAAATAAGACGGACAAATAAAAAAGACATCGCACTGCCTAAAGGCGAATTGGAGCGCAACATTTTAAATTACTTGTGGGCAATGAACACTGCAAATGACTTTTTGTTTCAAAGCGAATGAAAAGTAAACACAAAAAAACGAGAGTCACAGAAATATGGAGAAAGAAAAACAAAGCTATTGCGTCCAAGACAAGAAATAAGAAAAGATACGCAATCAGTGATGGTCAGACGTGAAGCAACTGGAAAGTAAAAGATAAATACAGAAAAAACACAAATTTAAAAAAGCATTCAAATGCAAAAATTATATCTATAAAACTGATATAAAAGAAAATTTGTTTTACAATTCTATTGAAAGCATTCAATAAAAAAGCATATAATAATCTTTTGGTAGATTTTTTTGTCACTATCAGAATTTCCAACAAATATACTATAATTTGCTGAATTTCAAAGACAGTTTTCAAATCGTCGATCTGCTTTTCAGATTTTAGTTTCCCTTTTTTTGCATTAACAAAAAGGCAACAATTATTATTACTATCACTTGTTTTATGATTATTTTGCTGGTTGTAATTCTCAAACTGAGTTGAAGTTGGCAGTTGACTCTGCCTGTCAACTGTCTGTTATCATTGGCCCCATTTCGAAATGATGCAGTTTTTCATGATTTAGTTATTTTCGTTATTACTAAATAATATCTGCAACATGCGACAAGTGAATGAAGGTCAATAGTTCATTATGATAGCTGCACATCTGTGGCTTATTTCCTAACTGGGCTAAATGAGCTATGGGAGTTTGGAGCTTATGGCCACTTTCGCTTTCGGGCCAATATGGGCAACAGCTCAATCAATTACGGGATGGTCATTGTGTTACCCACAAAATAAGCATAATAAATTTGCAATTAAATGCTTAAATTGTGCAAATGGTTTGCCAATGTGGCAAGGGCGGTCCGTGACGAAACGGAGGAGGTGGTGGCAGCCAGTGGTCAAATGGTCATCGTTTATTTTACCACAGAGACAGACAGTCAGAAAGAGCGAGAGAGAGGGACAGAATGTGGATCTCTGCCGTCTGGGAGAGAGATAAATGTGAGCTGTAAAAACAAACAATGCAAAGGGCAACAAGAGTAAGAGAGAGAGGAAGAGAGAGAGGGAGAGGGAGAGGGAGAGGGTGAGTGAGAGACGTGAGTGTAATTAATGCTTAATTATGCACATTAAAAGCCAAAACCTGACACGACTGCTGCTGCTCCTGCTGCTGCTGCTCCTCCGATGGCCACGTAATAAATGCACGCCACGTATGCCCCATAAATTACACTTTGACCCCCCTCCAAGGCTATGAAAACTATATTGCGCATACGCCGCATTGTGCTGGAGTAAAACAAGGCAAGGTGAGTTTAACGTACAGAAAACCGAATCACAGCCGCCGCATTGCCATATCATAATTGAAAATCGGTAATAGCCACGAATTAATACAAAACTGCTAAATTGGCAACAAAAAAAGGGGGAAACAAAGGGAAATAAATAGTCGTAAAATGCGAGTGCAATGTGGCGCAGAGCCAAACAGTTTGCGAGTGGGTTGTTCAATAAATACTTGTGATAAGATCTTTTTAAACAATTGAACTTTTCTTATGGTATATTTTTAAATAAACTTAATAAACTTTGTCAACCAAGTTATGTTTAAGTGCTAAATACTATAAATATCTATATATATTAACCCAAATAAATTAATAATGTTCAATGGATTCTTATGTTCCTTAGTATAAGTAAAGCCATAAATTAAAATTTGGCTGCCCAATTATCAATAAGTCATAAATTTTAGTTACTCGACTCATAAGTTGAATTGTTTTCAGCTCTTCGTTTTGCTGTGAAAAATTAGAAAATAAATGTTTTGTTTAGTTTGAACAAATCTAAAAGTGATTTTCTCTAGTAATGCCCTAAATCATGACTCATCCGAGACAGTTTCGCTGCGTCAGCGGCGAGCGAAATGAGCATTTGAATGGCAACGAAATATCGTTGGAGGCTGCGACTTTTTAGCACGCCTGAAAGTCAGGTATTAATAAACGTGCGACTATATATACTATATATATGTGCGTGTGTGTGTATTTATATGACACACATTTGGTCAGTTCGGCTGAAAAACGTTGATGCACAGCTGACACACATTGGGCAGCAGCAGCAGCATCATCATCATCAGCATTTTCATCCAATTTCATTTTAAACTGTGCAAAAATAAATGAAATTTTTTGTTTAATTTTTATTTTTGCCTCGCTTGTCATGCTCGATTTCCAACAGTTTCCGCAAAAATTGCTATGATATATATTTGCTCAGTTCATTTTTGTTTTCTTTTTTTTTTTAATCTTTTAATTATAGGCAATAAATTTGTTTCAAAAGCTTAACCAGGCACCAAGTGTAAAATAAAACTAAAGGCATTTTTGAAGCTGCTCAAAGATGAATTCCATTACATTACATGTGTTGTCAGCAGGCAAATGTTCGAAATGTCAGCAAAGATAATTATTCTATATAGATATATACGAATATATATGCAATACAGTTTATTTTGACAGTGCTTTAATGATTTGTTCTTCTTTAAGCAGCTGTTGGCCATGAAATACAATATTCACTTTGCACTGAACGCAAAATATTATTTATAGAAAATGCAAAACTCAGGTGACAGAGAAATATATTCAAATTTGTCATAATATACTTTCAGGCCACATTTAATCTCAAAGCATATGAGCAAATGCTAAAGGAAATTGCAATAAATATTTTAATACGATTATATTGAGACCACGTAAGTAATAATTTAAACTAATAAATTTCAGTCTGCTCGTTAAAAATGCAAGAGACAACTACACAATTCAATTATAGACCATTAAATGCGGACTCTTGAATTGCAAGATTAATAATGCAGAGAAAAATGCAATTAATTAATTGCTTTAAAGTTTGAAATAAATTCAACGAAATTCAATATATAAAATGTTAACATGACATTGCGTACATTCTGTAAATAACAAAAAATTAAACACTTTAATTATTGACTAACTAATTATTTAAATTGGGTCAGTCGACAATCAATAAAACGCCCAAATGCTAATTAGTTTAGCTGTGCGAGACACAATGCGAAATTAGTAATAAATTCAATTCGATGCTAATTAAAAATTCAATTCACCTGCCCCACTCAATATATTTGAACTCCTTTGGCACTCACGCCGCAGTTCCACTTAATTATGTATGTCAATTTTAATTGGCTTTCAGCTCACACACACAAAGAAATACACGGACAGACACAGCTGAAATCTGAGCGGCACGCTATAAATATATTACAAACAGTAATGTGTGTGCACACCTGGCGTATGCTTGATATATGAATTTTAAGTATTCACTTTTATGCATACATTTTTATGGCATGTTGAATAGTTGGCACAAACAACAAACAA